ATGGCACATTGTTAAGAGCCACCCCTGAGCAACTTTTAAAAGTTTTAAACTACCCACTGACCACTGAGGGGCAACTTGGGCCTCCAAACAAGCCAGTACATGCAAATATACAGCGATTCACAGTTGCCAAACTATATAAAAAGACTGAGTGACAGTAACTAAGCTGCAAACTGCACAACAAAGACATTCCCAACAGCACGTTCCGAGAGGCAGAATGTAATCTCTGAGGTCCTACAGGGAGCAGCAGGTGAGAGTGGGCCTAACTGATAACGTCCGCTGCTCAAGTGGAGATGGGTTGATGTGTTTAACATCTTAAAAGGATGCAGTTGTGGAAAAAAAAAGAAGAAATAATGTCACTGGGGAGCGGAAAAAGGCTTCAAACAAACGGGAATGTCAGAGGAGAGCTGGAGCGCAGGGTTTATGCTCACCGCCGTCTTAAGACGGACTGAAGGACTTAGACCCAGTGTGAGAGACGGGGGGGAGAAGTGACCTGACTGTCAATGATGCCAAACCTATTTAAAGCTTTGCCGTCAGCCCCGTGCTGGCGCTGACACCTTCACTTCTCTCTTATCGGCCGCGGAGAAGCGGGCCGGTTTTTTCTCTTTGAGCTGAAGTGCGGTTTGGTTAAAAAAAAAAAGAAAAAGAAAAAAAAAACAGTGAAACTTCACAGACGAGCCGCAAACTTTTGGGGGCCGGGGTCGAGCTAACTAACGGTGTGCGGCGAGCATCGCCATGGTGAGCAGCGGAGGAGGAGGACGGCTCCGTCTTTAGAGCTCAGGCGACAAACAGAACGATTCAAAGGCTCATTCAGTCAAGGGCTTTTCAAGGAACGGACATAACTGTGAACGCAACCTTCGACTTTTGAACGCAGACTGGGAGACGGAGTCCGTTTGCAGTGAAACTAAAGCACCTGGCCCCAAATTATGGGGGAAAGGGGGGGGGGGGGCAGAGTTACTCAACTGGTGGTCCAGCAGCTGCATCCCAGCCTACAGTTGAGAGGCGGCTGCATCTGAAAGCACGTGTGTGTGTGTGTGTGTGTGTGTTAGAGTGTGCGTGCTGTCCAGTGAACTACAGGAAAACTCACCAGGATCCCGGCAAACTGCTTCTCTTCCATCCTTCAGGACCTTGTGGGCAGAGATCCTCTGCCTCTGCGTGGGATGGCCCGGTCAGAGTCGGGACGGTTCTCGGGGGGGGGGGGGGGGCCGCGGTGTCTGCTCGGACGTCTTCACCCCGCCGCGTCGGGCTCTCTGCCTCGGTACCCCCGGCTTCTGCGTCGCTTTGCAAGTGTAGCTGGAGTGGCGTCGCTGCTTTGTGCTAATTCTGCCCTAATCCAGAAACTTTTCTATGCTGTGAAAAGAACACGTGACAGAGAGAGGTGGGGGGAGGAGTGGGGAAGGAGGGGGGAGGCAAGGCAACACTTGTTAGTTACTTGTCCTCCTGCCTGAGTTAGAACCAGCTCCTTGGTCTCTAACCAAGGCCTGATTTGAGGTAAAAAAAAATATCCCAATAACATTTGCACCTCTTGTGCTCGGAGTGTTATTGACATCAGAAGGTGAGAATTTAAGATCGCCACAAAGCGGCTGGAGCAGACACAGAGAATTCCGAAAAAACATTAGTCAAAGATTTGCATTTTGTGGCAAAGCAGCTGCCATAACAAAGTGTTCTTTTGTGCTCAAAGATTAACTGTTAGGGAAACATTCAGACTGCGCCCTGACTGCTGCTGCATGACGGCCAAACTGGGAGCAGAACCCTGAGCCGGGATTTAGGGGGCAGTGGCCGAAAACACTTTTGTTGGAGTGAAACTTTTCGAAACACTCGACTTGGCACTGCTTTATTTTAAAAACACAAAAAGAAAAATTCTAAAAAACTCAGAATCTGTGTTTGGCACACACCTTTATAACATAAATTATCTAAAAGCGATCCTGTATTTAGAGCATATAAAGAAACATGAAACAGCAACACACTAAAAAATAAAATCAGAGAAAAACGACAAAAGAATTTGACACCATACTGGAAAATTGCAAAATTGACAACTGGTAATAGGTGAGGGTGTCAGGATTGGGCATAGATGGAGTATTCAGCACAGGTGTAGTCTTTCTGAGTAGCAATCAACAAAATCAGGTTCTCAATCAATAAGTATTTCCAGAAACTGTATGACACAAGTGGTAGCTATATATCATTTTTCTTATGCCTGACACAATGAGTTAATCATGAAAGTGTTCACTTGTTCACTTGTGTGGAAAACGGCCTGCACAGAACAACCTGAAATACCAAGTTTGTACTGGTTTTTTACATAATAATCAGAATATATAACCCAAACAAGCCTGATTAAAGTCCAGAAACCCAAATATCACAAAAAGAAAAGCAGCTAATTTTCATGTCTAAATTAGTATCAATCAGATTTTAAAACTTTGATGTAATTTCTGGGTTATATATATACTATAGAGTTCATTTAATCCCATTGTGGTTTCAATATATAAAACATAAAGAACCTTAACAGGGTAGAAAAAGAAAAGTTGCCAAAAATAGCACCCATTCAGTGTTACTCATTCAGTGTTACCACACACTGTGCCTATCATATGTACAGAGCCCACTAGGACTCTAAACTCCCCCCCGGGACTTCCATCATACACAGCACGCTGAGCACTGAAGAATAGATGACAAGAGACTAAACTAAACCTTACCATACACGGTGTGGTGCAGGAAGAAAAAGAAAAGAGAAAAACAGGGAATCAGCGGAGGGAGCCGGCTCAGTCCCCTGAGAAATTAACTGCTGCAAAGGCTCAAGTCTGGGATCAAACCACGCTGCTCTGGGTCCTTCCCACTGGTGCACTTCACTAATGTATGTATACAATGAGCCGAGCAGAGCCTATTGGGCAACTCGGGAGGTGTGGCAGCAAGAAGTCACAGCAAAGCCACTCAAAGCTGACGCGTTTGTTTGCTCCTGTGAGGGATGTTCCAGGGCCAAAACAACGAGCCCCCCCGGATCCCAGATCACATCTGGCCCCCCCACACAGCCTTGACACTGACACACAGAACAAGTGTAACTACATAAATAAGCATGACAACTTATTTCCCTTTTCTTCTTTACGTCAACATTCAAGCATCTGTCATTGTTACTTTTGGTTTTGCTTTTAACTTTAATCTCTGCGGACTTCATGAGTGTGATTAAAAATGCATTACTCACAAAGTGATGCAATGAGACAAGAGAAGAGGATTTAAGGATGTTACGGTTTATTCCAGGTAGTTCTGCCACTTACAGCACACTGACTAAACTACGGCCATGAGACTGGTAGTTACTTCACAACTATCTTTTCACAGTGTTTGAACGCATGCGGTTCTTATCTGGAGTTAACATGGCCGAAGTAACCCCAACCCCCCCCCCCCCCCCCCCCCCCAACTGCTGGGCCCCTGTTTACTATTTACCTCCCACTGCAACGCTAACATATTAGAGAATTCTGAAGAATAGACTGTGAGATTTCAACCAATTTCATATCAAAACACCTGTGACCCTAATAAGAACAAGTGGTGTAGAGAATGGATGGATGGATGGATGGATGGATGGATGGATGGATGGATGGA